TGGGTGCAGATGAGCCTGTATCGGATTATATTGTAGCACCAAATTCGACAGGGTTCAACATTGTGGACTGACTCATGACTTAGACTTGATTAAAATTTACCAGATCCACTTTGTTTTAACCACTCCAACAGCATCCAATCAAGTTTCAGGAGAGAACCACGAAGAACTAATGTTACATTACTGAGCACCAGTTTATAAAAAATAGCTTGTTACTGTCTTGACTTGGGACTTCAGACTTACTTGTGACTTTAAACAATGACTCGGTCCCACCTCTGTTGAATCAGTTACCATGTTTCAACATATTTAACCAGACTGTATGTTTATTTTACTTTATCTTTTAAAGATGCAGAACTTAATTTAACATTCTTGTCCACCTCCCATTTTCCATAGATAATAAAAACAGGGAGATACAGTATATTAGTATATAGTATATAAGAATGCAGTTTAGCATGTTAACACTGAGCTACTGTAACTTGCTTCAGCTTTAATGCTTCTATGATTTAAGGATTAAGATTTAAGATTAATAACTTTTTTTTGTCCTCCCATTTTCCTTTCAGACAGTTTAACCAGCTCGACTCCACCAAATGTTGTCACCGCCGAGATCTCTGCTCAAGCAGGACTCATGGTCGTCCCTGAAGAAGCCACACTGGCTTTGGCGGAGGGCGTTGCAAAGGGAGGATACCCTGTAGACATCGCCGCCCAGTCAACTGTAGACTTGACGAGCATTGGCCAGTCAGAATTGGGGTGCGCAAGCGCTTTAATCGAAACTGGACTACAGCCTGCTTCTGTTGCACAGTTGGAAATGGAGTACACAGTTCTGGACACGCAGGTGTCCTACAGTGAGGAACAGGACTTTCCATCCAGCATCACTGACGTAATCCGGCCAATGGAGATGGCAGAGTTGGTGGACATCTTGCCCACTCTGAGTCTCATTGAGGAGGAGACCCCCAGTGGCCCGTCCACACCATCAGTAATGGATATGCTCGAGAGCTTTGGACTGGGGATTAATGAAAACACCTTCTTTCCCTTAGAGAATTCAAACTTGACCAATGGAGCCGGGTGTCTGTTGCAGCCTAGCCCACACTGTAACAGCAGCAATGTGAGAGAGACACACTGTGAGAATACTGTCTTACAAGGACAAGACATGTCTGCCTCTCCTGCCGCAGTAGACGCCACAGGCGGTGACACGCCTGTTTTGAGCTGGGATTTTCCTTTAGAGGATCCAGAGGCTCAGCAGGCGTCCAGCAAGGGAGTGTGCTTTCCAGTTAGAAACCAGGTGGAGTGGGACAAATCCTGCAACAGTTCATCCTGATATCGACTCAAATACCAGCCTACTTCAAACTTGTACCAATTTAAAACTGTAGGCTGCAGCACAGCTGATTTACACTCAGAAAATTCAAGTTAGACTTTTTGGGCTTGAAGACGACATTTTCTTTGATCCCTGACTGTCGATCAGTGTCCACTCGCCCAGTTAATATTAACTGTTGTCCCAGTATCAACCAGATACAAGTTAATCTGACAGTTGATGGATGTGGGAAATGAAAAAGAGCAGACACCATAACTAGACTGATTTATGTCGTTTGCACATTTCTCGGCCTGTAGTTTATCTTTTTTTAATGTTAAGCTTCTTGTGTGGAAAAACTGAGATATAGTTGTAATTTTATGACTTGAAAATCCATCACTCACTACAGCACAAAGCAACATTGCTGCTTGTTGGAGGTTGCACACAAACTCATTAAATACATTGTTCAGTAAGTGGGAAAAGCTGTTGTGTAGTATGTGTAATTGAATAATTGTGGTTCTCTTTGGTTTACCTGTATGCATTTTTGGCATCCCACACCAAAACTGTAGCAAGATTTATAATCCTGTTGATTATACATGAACTGCGGTCAGTTTGCCAGTTTGGGTATTCAAGTTCGGCTTGAGCTGAATATTAGATATCTAAGAGAGAAGAAACCCAATTCACACAAGAAAAGACTAAAGACAGAATACTGGTGCTGCAAGAAAACTGAACTCGAGATGTCAGCTGTCATGAGATGCGGATGATTTGTTCTTTAGTTCCTTTAATTATTTTCACAAATGATCCCTCACTACAAAGGCCTATTTAAAAAGAAGTTTTCAAAAAATACTCAAAAGTTTCTGTTATTTGCTGCATTTAGCTACTCTAGAGCATAAACAGTAGAAAAATGCTCAGCTCTTTTCACCTTTAAAGTTGATTTGGCCTTACATTGTTGCTTCTGTACGTACTATATCTTTACCTCCTCCTGCATAGCATTAAGTCAGAGTCAACCGAGGCTGAGCTAAGGCTGAGGAAACATGTAGACTTAGTAAATGCTTTGAGGGAAACCAGAAAGAGTGATTGTGCCAGTGGGATGAAGAGTTTGGGAGAGGGTTGCTTGAAAGGGATTAACCACAGGAACAATACAGACTGAACTGACTATGGAGAAATGTTAGGCATGTGTGACGAGTGAGGTGGTTGTGCTGGTTGAACCTCCACTATAGTTTCTTTACAAAAGAGCTGCGAAACTAAGTTATGTACTCCAGGCAGAGTGAAGATAGAAGAATAGAATACAGTTGAATAGAAGGGAATAGCTTTTCCTTACAGCTCGCTGCATTTCAACTGAAGCTCATATACGGCTTTTAAAAAGATTAACTTTGGATTCCATTTTCTCTCCATACCATAGTCCGTATTATTAAGGAGGTATTAGCTTTGGTAGGAATAAAATAAATACTTCAGTGGGTTGTAACATTTAAACATCATGAACATGTGGATAACAGCATTGTGGGAAGGTCATTGTGTGTTTAAGTGGGTTGAAACTGCCCAAACTAATGTTAAAAATCCAATTAAAAACTGCCTGTGAGGCTTTCACATAGTGCTTTTGCATTCTGTGTTTTATTTTTCAGGGGGTTTGCATTTCCTACGTTTCTTCTACTGGACACCCATGGTACACTCAACAAAGGTTGTCACTCACTTTACCTAAAACCTTTCACAGCAGCCATTTTGACATGAGATAGTAGGGTTAACACAGGTGTTACCAATGATACTAATTAAGGCTCCATTCCATTTAGTGTAGC